AATACGAATCGTCTTCAAAATCTATTTGCCCTGTCACTTTAACTTGGCCAGTGTTTTTATCAACAGCAAACAATTTTAGAGCCTTCTCAGATAAGCTATTTATCTCATACGTCACTTCTCCATTCGCTCCTTCGTCTGCATCAGTAGCACTAACTGTGACCACTATAGTGCCTAGGGGCGAATTTTCAGGCAGGCTGACTTCATACACAGGCTGGTCAAACGCCGGGATATTATCGTTAGCATCCAGCACAGTGACGTGTATGACTGCAGTACCTGATCTCTGCGGAGTCCCACCGTCAATGGCGGTTAACAATAGCGAAACATCCTGCTGTCGTTCACGATCCAGCTCTTTTTCCAACACCAAGTCAGCGTATTTTCCGCCATCAATATTTGTATTGATAGCCAAAATAAAATGATAATTTTTTTCCAAAGCATAACTCTGAACTGCGTTTTGTTGTATATCAAGATCAAGAGCTTGGTCTAAAAGGAAACGAGTACCTTTGATGGTCGACTCTGTTATCTCCAGTTTAATGCGATTATTAGGAAAACGTGGTGAATTGTCATTTATGTCCTGAATTTGTACCTCGATGCGATGCAGTTCCAGAGGATTCTCAAGAATCAGCTCGTATATTAAAACACATGAAATTTTCGGTCCACAAAGCTCCTCTCTGTCTATTCTCTCCTCCACAATCAAATCGCCGGTGTTTAGATTTATATCACAGTAGCGTCGTCTGTTTCTTTCAGCATCCAAACGAGGTTTTCGGGCGGATAGTCTTTTAACATCAAACCCAAGATCCTTGGCAATATTTCCAATCACGGAACCGCTTCTCATCTCCTCTTGTGTAAAATAGCTCATATCTCCACGGCTGCTATGTAACGTAAATATAATCAAAACCCAGCAGCTGATCCGCGCAGTTTCTACGAATCCTCTATATCCCATTTTCAGTGTGAACACCATAGTTCCTCTGTCACAATCCAATTGTTAATAGATTATGATAAAAATAATGCAAAAAAGGTTATATTCCATGAAGAGCCATTGCTGAAAACCGTCTTACTAGTTTTGTTATTCCAGTTGTCGCTCTGGTTTCGGGATACACACTGGACCCATCTGCTTAAATAGTAATGCAATGGGTGGGGAGTGTGATGTAAATAACATGTCAGGTGAACAGCGACACTCTGCGTTTTTATCGGGAAATGCAGAACTAACAAAGCTATAAAAAGACAATACCTCTTAAAGGCGTGAACACAATCTTCTCATCCAAGATATCCTGCCCATCTATATGCATGCTCTGATCCATCAGAGATAAGCTTAAAACTGCTTAACCAGTTAGAGTTACTTGATTGTATTTGATATTTTGGCTTTTCTTGATTAAAAATAAGATGACTGAATGATTTCCCACACTGAGGGTTGGAGGTTCAAGTCCCTCGCTACTTTGTCTTTGATGCAGTTTGCATCACGTATGCTGTGATGGACTGATGTCCCTTCTGGACTGTTCCGGAGCCTTGTGCCCCAAGCTGCCTGGTACATCCTCAGGTCACCCTGACCAGGACAAGAGGATGGGAGATGGATGAATGATAGCCACCATTCTTAGATAATGGTCATGCTGGGTCTGCAGCCTATCTGAAGTGTGGATGACAGATTGGGACAAAGATAACAGCAATGGAGCTAGTTAACAGGAGTGTAGTGGAGTGAGGCAGGAGTGTAGTGGAGTGAGACAGGAGTGTAGTGGAGTTAGATCTAAAATAATATAGATTTGTCAGATAAACACACTGTGATATGAAGCTGCCCACTATGTATTAAATGATTCTTTTCCTTGGTTTTCAAATTAATTGTGATTTAAATGTTCTATTTATTTAATTGTACCTTTTGAATTTTCACCAATTTATATACGGGGTTACTCTCTGAAACAAGTCCATCCATCCATACTATACTATACCCACTGGTCCTATGCAGGGTCAGAGGGAGTCCAAAGCCTATCCTGGAAGCAACGGGCAAGAGGCAGGGAACAATTCAGGATGGGGCACCAACCCATCGCAGGGCACTAACACACTCTTCACACCTACAGACAATTTTGTCAACTCCAATTCACCTTATAGCGTGTTTTTGGATTGTGGGAGGAACTTGAAGTACTAGGAGGAAACCGCACAACGAGGCAGTGAGAACATGCAAACTACACAGGGCAGAGACCTGAAACCGGAAGGGAACAGTGTTAACCACTTGCTAAATATCTTACATATCATATGTGTATATTTCAAAAAAGAAAAAACCACTGAACTTACTTCTGGATAGTAAAGTTCCAGTAAGAATTAATTTAATATACTTAAGAAAAAAATAAGAAAATGAAAGATTGCATTTTGTTGATGGATTCATTCAGGAGTAGTAAGTAAATGCAGACGTTAACCTTACAAAACGCTCTGTGACCATTTACCAGCGTCTTCACTGACTGCAAGGAGCTCGTAAATATCTAATGAAAACGTCGAAATTACGATGAAGAACATTAATAAGGCATCAGTTCTGCACCATTACCTAGTCACTTACAAAATGATTACCAAGGAAAACTATCTAAAATATTTTTTAAAAAATTACATTAGGAGTGAAAGGTGCCGGGAAAGTACAAAACAATGACATCTAAAGATTTCAGCACTGCAGCCAGAGGACAGCGACTTTGAAAACCCACCATTCAGCCGGTGATTTTTACATCTGTCTAATAGCATTTTGAGTTTTCAAGATAAACCGATGCCGCCGATATCTATAGTGGAAAGTCTTAACCACTCTGCTATCGCGCTTTCCGGTGTGGTATGAAACTATAGGTAATAACGACGCGGCTGTAAAGTCAGCATCCGGAGTAGGAAATCACCAGTACGGGCTCCACTTTACTAACGTAGTAAACATTTGGAATGAACATAGTAACGGGGTATAAACATTAATCACAAACTCTGGTAGACACAATAATGCAGTAAAGCCTGGAACTGAATATGAAAGAAAGCAATAAAGACTACAGGTAATTTTCAATGTCGTCTGTTTCTTTTTTTATCTTAGCATAAAATTGTTACCTTGATATAAGGTGCACATCAGTAACCAGTCAAGCAAAGACTATTATAAACCGGTCTAAGTCAATAGAGTGAACATTTTCCCCTCATTTATCCCCTTAATTACAATGAAACAGCTCACTACAATAAAGTACGAACACTGACAGGATTGAAAAACTTAATTCAATTACGCAGAAAGTTGCAAAACAGCAAAGACTGGAATTCCTGATTAAAAGAAAGAAATGTCACCTAGATTGCAGAAACAGCCAATACGGTCAAAACAGCCAACATGGTGTAAAAAATGACACCAATCGTAAAATGTTTATGAAAATCGCAACTATATTGCAAGAGGAATGTTCATATAAAATGAAGTTGTACCTGACTGGACTGTCCTATGTCCATCCGCTCTGTTATATTCTCTCCGCCTGGTTCACCTGGACTCTTCCTCACAGTCTGGTCCACTGGCAGAGTGTCATTGTAAGATGTGACGAACTTGAAGTCACTGGTGCGCGAGCCCGTTGTCAGGTACGTGTCATAATTATAAGAGCAGCGCAGAGTTCCCGTTCCGTCCATGTCTGCGTAGTTGGGCGGCAAATACGCACTGGGAATGGCGACTGCGCCGTCAAACAGCATCCGAG